ATTACTTATAATATAAATTCTATATAAATTTGATAAATTAATACATATTTTTTAAATTTTTATTAATTATAGATGATATGTTTAAATTATTTAGAGTGAATTTGAATTCCAGTGATCCAATCTATTTTTGTTAACAGTGAGATATATTTGGGTAGCACGTATTGATGTAATGGGAGGCTTATAACTGCACTTTCCCTGTAGTTTCCAATAAGAAAGGAGAAGATCTAGTAGTTTATTGCTAGTCAATTCTCTTTAGAAAGTAGCTTATTGTTGGATTCAATTTTATGATTATTTTAAATAAATATTTTCACAACTAATTTTAATCTTATTATTATAATTTTAATTTTATCAATACAATAATTAATATAACCGCTGATATTATTTTCAATTTTAATTCAATTCAATCTCGCTATGATCCTATCGTACAATCAGTCACCTTAGGTCTAGCCTAGTTAACCACGGGCCGAAGCTAGTTGCCTTCGGTTGATGAGGTTTTGGGCCTAATGGTGGGATTTTGGGTTAAATGCACAAAATTTCCCTTGTAACCTTTAAAAAAAATTTAAGAAAAAAATAAAAAATCATCTGCTCTGTGTTTTGGCCCAGAAGGAGAAGCTGGGCTTGAAGCCGAACTGAACAAAATTTGAAAGAAACGAATGAGAGGGAAATTATCAAATAACATAATAATAATAATAATAAAAAAAAAAACCAAGGGGAACCTGAAGCAGAATCAGCGTTCCCGAATCTTTTTGCTAGGAAATCAAAAACACTATTCATTTCTAGTTGACAGACACTGGAAACAGATTACGCAACAAACTGCAAATAAAGTAATTTCGAAAGTGTTAAACTATGTTGAATCTAGAGGAATCCCTAGTGCATGGCGAGTTCGGCTTGGTCGTGCTGGTGCAGTGGTACCAAGTTCAACGTCCTCTTGAGGAGGAACTGGGTTAGAACTTTCTTCATTGCCGGTAACGATCATGATGGAATAAGTGGGAAGTGATTGAAGAAAGCCAGTAAACAGCAGGAAAAAGTGTTTAAAAATATCAAAGAAAATGGCATGCCAGGGAGAATAGAAGACTATCAGCAAATGTATGGCCCAGAAGTGCGAAGGTGGAAAGAAGAGTGAGGCTAGAAACGATGCGGTCAAGGAAATAGAGAAAGCTCCGGTGCGGAAGCGAATGTGATTGAGGCTTATAGGGAGTTCAACCGAGGTGAAGAGGAAGAGTAGAAGAAACATCACGGCTAGAATTATGAATGCCAGCTCCAAAATAAAAAACTTTCGGACAAAGAATGATGAAACCAGGATGTTCGGGTTCAAAGGGCTTAAGAACAAAAAGAAGATCAAATTCAATATAGGGGGGATACAGTACCGCAAATCCATGTTACCTCGTTCTCCTCTTCCTCCAGTAGTTCTGGCTATATATACTACATAAAAGACCATGGTAATTGCTGGGCAATTGGCAATTGCTGTAAGTGGCACTGCAATTGCCAATTGTTGGGCACAGCAATTGGCAATTGCTGGGCAAGTGACTTGCCACATAATATATGCAACATGATTTGACGCGCAACATAATTTTTAAAAAGTTAAATTTATTTATGTATTAAAATAATTAATTCATGCATTTAATTTTAAAAATATGTTTAATTGATTTATTTTTTGTTTTTAAATTACAATTTTTTATATTAAAATTAATAATAAAATTTTTTATTTTTTATCCATTAGAATTTAATAAAAACATAAAACTGAAAGGTGAAGCAAATAAAATACTCATCTATTATATAGTGACAATATTAATATTAGGGTTTCAAACAAGATATTTAAAAATCTTTAAATTTGGCCATAACTATAATTATATGTTGATAAATGAAAAATGTGATGTATATATATAAATTAATCATGTTTAAAATTATATATTTTATTGTATAAAATAAATATTAATTTTATTTTTTATTTATTAAAAAATATATACTTACACTTTGAATTATCTTTAATTTGCAATAAAAATAAATAACAAAAACAATAATCAAACCATTTTTACTCAATTTATAAATTTAAAGACTATTCTATTGTAGATGTAATAATCGCATGAGATAATATTTCATTGTAATATTTTATTAAATATACTTTTTAAAAAATTAAATTTGAATTTAATATATGTTTTTTTATAATTAAATGTAAAAGGTATTTACGTGTTTATATAATAATAGGAATTAATATATATGATTCAATAAAATTGTTTCTAACTAAGGTTTGATAATTCAAAATATAATACAATATAAAAATAATAAGAAAATTACATGAATGTGAGCTGATTAATTAAAATTTTAACAAAATATATATATTTAATAAAAATAAAAAATATATTTTATATTTTTATAATCTATATAGATTATAAAATATAATTTTTGTATGAAATATTATTTAAATACATAAATTATTAATGTTTTACATATACAAATTGCAAAAGTCAATTGACACCCTAGATTTGCACAAGATGTTTATGCACCATGAGCAGGGCACTGACGCTTAATGCGTTTTACATGCTGACGACTCCATTTTAGGCTCGAGGTAGAAGGTTCCCCTTAAATGGTTTTATATGCTGACGACTCCATTGTAGGCTCGACGTTGATTGTTCAACCTTGCACACAAATATTTAAATTGCCAAATTTACTTATACTAACAAAAAAAGAACTCTATGCGAGAGAAAGGGATGAGTGAGGGAATAGGAAAAGATGTAACTGTTCATAAGCGTGAAGGTTCGAATATGTTACTGACGAATAAAAGAAAAAAAATAATATTATAAATGATTCTTAAATTATAATAAATATTAAATATAATATTTAAATTTTAAAAAATTTTAATATAATATATAAATTATAGAATTTATTAATTAATGTAATACTTTAATAAAATTCGAATTTAAAATTTTTTTATTAAAAAAGATAAACCTTAATCAATTGAATAAATCACATAAATTTTTAAACATTCATTAAAATAATATCACTTCATAATTTTTTAAAAATATTTATTTCTTGTTCTACTTTTCAATTTTTTCCTTATAAACGAAAGAAATTGTTAGAATTGTCCACAAGCTTATACATTTCAAATCTTTGGATTATTGGCTTAGGATAACTTTTTTATTAGTGTAATTGAAATTAATTTTTACTGTTTTGAAGCCCCTTGCCATTTTTAAAGTCCCACGTTCCCAGCCATCATCACATGCAGCCTTCGTGCGGTTCCCCTTAGTTTTCGTTTCTCTTCAAAAACTTCCCCTTTGTAACCGGTCCCCTTCTCTTCAGTAGTTTTTTTATTCCTTCACAACATGCATTTTTACATGCCTTTCACGTGCTAACTGATTTCCATGCATATTTCATTATTTTGTTTCATTATTATTATATTTATATACTTTCTCTTTTCTTCATTTTTTTTTTTTACTTTTATTTCTTTTTATATTTATATTTTATTGTGTCATCTTCTTGTTGAATATTGACAACGTAATAGCAATATATGAGATTGTCTGTGAATCAACTGGAGTTTCTCTGTGATTTGGCGACCTGATGAGGAAGTTAGGATAGGCACATTGGTCACAGTAGCAAAAATCAAGCAGTTTATAACCATAAGATACTGAAAGATCAATTTAACATGTATCCTTTCCCGGCCAATCTTTGGCACATCAATTATTTCTAATAATTCTTCTGTTAGCAGGCAACCAAGAGGCAGTTTCTGGTTTATATTCAAATGGTAACATTTTTTATGTTTCAGAAAATCTTATTATTATTATTTTTATTATTATTATTTTGCTAAGTTGTGTCAGAAACTGGAAGCTTATATAGCTTTTGAATTTATTGAAATCATAGCAGTGTTTACTGGCAAAGTGGACATGCTCCTGCACTTGTCTACTTGGTGTGATATGAAACTAAAGAATGAATGATTACTGGTATTACTGGTAAACTAAAGCACTGGGGATAGATTAAGACTTTTTAATTACAAAATAGTTTTTACTAATGTTTATTTTTCAATTACTTTTACATATTAACGTGAATTTCGATTAATACATATTTTATTAAAGTTTATAAAAGAAAGTATTTATTAGTCCATAAGAGTAAGATGTCGATATTAAACCATAAATATAATACGAAAACAATATAAGAAAATTGCACAATTTAAAATTATAAAAATAATTATATAAGTTAATAAAATTTTAAAAATATTTTTTTATTTTTATATTTATACGAATTATGATATGTAATTTTTATTTAAAATATAATATGAATACACAAATTTTAATATTTTACAAACATAAATATATAAATTGTTAAATTTAACTAAAATCTAAATTAAATGTAAATTGTTATAACTTGAATTTAGAAAGTTTATCCAAAAATTTACTTTGGAGCAAATTTTGAATGACAATTACATGAGTAGATGGAGACATTAATTGCATGTTATCCAATTTACATCTTGATTTTATGTAAAAAATTATCTAATAAATTATTAACTATCATCTAATTCATCCTTTTTTTTTTTGTGAATTCTCCCAAAAAAACAGGTTCAAATTGGATAAGAATAAGACTTGGGAAGAGAAAACCAAATTTAGAAATATAATATTTGGTAGGATGAATTAAGGTTTGAAATTTATGAATTTATTAACTAAAGAAAAATGATGCTGCCAATTTTGGGTCTTTTTCAGTATTACTACTTCTGTTACTTTCACCAACCAAAAATTGGAATTGGAAGAAGCAGACACAAGTTATATTTGAGGCTGCTCTGTCAAGAAAATCTCACATGGTGGGATCGAGTTTTATTCATTTCCAGCTCAAAAGTTGAAAATGGCATCTATTATTTTGGAAGAAAGTTTAAATACTGTGATAATCTAACTAAAATGAGAATCTTCAGACAGAAGAGAAGCCGACTGAATGTGGATCTAACACAAGCTTGAAGCTTGCATTGCTTCTTGTAATCCCATAGGAGTGATCAGGAAGAGTTCTTGGTGAAGAACATTACTGCAGGATATTTTCTGGGAAAGCTGTGCTATAAATAATAAAAACTAAGACTCTGTAATTAACCTGAAAAAGATACTGTTATTCATAAATGTTGTGGTTTCTTTCTCTTGGTCTGTGGTGAGGGAAGCTGAAAGTAAACGGTTCTCTTCACTTCAGTCCAACCTTCGCAACAAGTATTCAACCTGAACTTCCTTTGTTAAGGGCATGATCCAATGGCCATAGAGATCGGCAACTAAACTTGGCTTGATTTTGTATACAGGATCAGGATCTGCTGCAACACCAGCCCCGTCAATCTCTACCTCTTGACCGTATGTTTTCGTTTTCATATTCACTCTCTTTTTCACTGCTGCTTCCACTGTTTCATATGTCAGTAACTCCATCAGTCGAGACCTATCCTGGTAGATGCACATTCCAGGGCAAGAGGAATGGAAGGAAATTTGTTAATTGCAAATATGAAGTAGCCTAAACAAAAAGGATGAAGTGGGAGAAATGAGGAAGGAAGTTTACTTTTGCTCTGATGGCATCCTCATACGCTTGAGGGGATTCTCGAAATTTTGCTTCTGCTACAAACTTACCATAGTGAATTCTTTTTGAAAGTGCCTGCAAAACAATTGAAAAAAGTTGAAAAATAATCAAGGATTTCAAGAAGCTAGGGATGGACTGCCCGTGTTTCAATTTCAGGTAAGAACAGCTTAAAGGCATACCTGTAAGCAAATTGTATCACAAACAGCAGTAGACCCACAATTACCATCATCCCCAGCTTCCACCAATCTTGGTAGAAGCTCTCCAAAATACACATTCCAAACCTTATTGTTTATATTAATGGAACCAGCACAGTGATGCAAAACCTAGTATCAATCAGAAGAAATGCACAATGGTTAATGGATATGTCCTGTGACACAGCCTTAATAAGGTATCAAGATATATATTTGAGATTCAATGGCAGCACATCACATGGAATCAATCGATATTTCTTAAGGTGGAAACAAGATACCATAGCTGAAGGATGAAATCATGAGTCAGTTCCAATTATCTATATGTATAAATCAAACATCTGACCTTCGGGTATTGCAAAGGTGGAAGCATTGGTTCAGGTAGATACGCTGGGAAGAAGGGATGCTCATCTGGACTTTTGTATCTGCCCAACTATATTTACATAGAAAAATCATCAGAACATTACTCTCGTGATGTAACTTGTTCACCTAACATTTTCTCCTTAGAAATAACACAACAAAACCTGAGCATGCAGCCTTTCGTTTTCCATGACCATGAACTCAACCAAAGACCCATGAAATCCATCCATGGCGAATGCATCTTCGTTATATGTGGCTGGATTGTAACAATGCTGAGCTCTCTCCAAAAGGCTAAATATTATGCTATCTTCTTGTCGAATTAAGGAGTGTCTTATACTGTTGAGGGTCAGGTTCTCACTCTCATCCACCCTTTGATTCTTTGAAAACCTGTATGAACAAAATCATACAATCCAGGAAGGAAAAAACAAGTGCTCAATATTAAAAAAAAATCCAGCATTTCATATAGGTCTGACCTTATGTTTGATGAAGAAGAGGAAACTCCAAGAGAACGATACACATTTGCACCCAAAGTCGATCCAATAACTTTGAAAGTTGTTTTGTGTGTGAAACGTGATGTGGGTCTTGAAGATTTCAAAGCATTTTGGTTCAGAACGAAAGAAAATGGTTTTTGAAGTAGCTTGGCCTCCATTGATGATTTTTTTTTTCACACAAACTGACAGAAAAGATACACATGACAGCCTCTTTCACTTGTATAATTTTATTAACATATATATACTTATCATTAAATCAAATGTTTAAATAATTTTATAAAATATTTTCTGTTACTTTTTATAGAATAACATGTTACCATTAATTTTTTATCATTTTTTAATCTTATTAGAAGCCAAACCATGAATCAATGAGAGAAGAACAGAACATTCTCTACGTTACCAAAATTGTTAAGAAAATTAAAATTCACAAGATTTTATTACCAAAATTACAATTTATTACTATAATAAGGTTATAGTGCATTTGTAGTCTAAAACCTTTCATTTAATTTCATTTTAATCCTTAAATTTTAAATTGTTTCAAAATAATCTAAGACCTTTTAAAATGACGTTAATATTATCCTCTCATCAAATTTTACATGAGATAATTACAACTTAAAATAATAGATTTTGAATTAATATTGCTCTTTGCTAATATACTAAAATGGTTGTGATATCTATTAGGTTAAATAGATGTAGCGATTTGCAATAAGCCCCTATAACATTGATCCAAAAGAAACTTAAAAAGGGAAGGGGGAGGGCAATAAACCATCTAACAACAACAAACAAATAAATGTGAGTTTTTTTAATTATTATTTTATATACTGGTTATTAATTTATAAACTTTAAAAATGAAGTTAACAAGTATAAACTACACATCTCATTTAAGGTAAAACAGCATTGAGATCAAAATACAAACTCTCTAAACATATAAATGATGTCCAAATATCATTGGGTTTCTAAAATTTTGCTTCTAAACTTTTGTTTTGATAAAAAATATTTAAATTGATGTTAATATTTTAGAGAGGAAAAAAAAAAGAATACTACATTTCCTTCTGCATTAAAAAAATTAACCGATGTTCATAGATATTTATTAATTGGACTATTGAATTATACTTTAATAATAATATCGATGAAATTTGAATTTAAAATTAAGTTCAATTAGTTCATTTATTTACATTTATGAAGAGTCATTTAACAAATTTGATATTCAAATTTCATTATTTGGAACTTTTCTTTTTTCATTTAAGGCTTACTTTGTAGTTTTATACCTAACAATGTTGATGAAAATTGTTGAACTAGCGGCTTTTATTATGGCAATTGGGAATAAAACCAACATCTATCCCTCTTTGTCCATGAACATCTTGGCTTTCCTATAAACTTCCTTCAAATATTCCCTAAACCTAACCAAATCTAGTCTAACATTTTGTTTAAATTTTGTTTAACCATGAACATTTTGTTTTTTTGCCAAAATTTGGTTCTTAGACGAGACACGAACTCAAAACGGAGAGAAACCAAGAACAGTAAATTACATTTTGTACATAAAACAGAACTTTAGAATTGAGGAAAGAAATCCCCAAACAGAAATAAAGAACATATCTACCCAGGCTTACGTTTACTGTTAAACGATTAAAAGAACTGTACAATAATAAATGGAACAAGACACAACACACACCTTAGAGTTTTGCAACTTATCAGCTTTCCTTTTCTTGAAGCTTTCCCTTCCAACGGCTGAACCCATCTTCTCAGAGACGACTGACTCCTTCCCCTTGACCTCCACCGCCTACCCGCTGCCACAGCTGGCTGGCAGCTAGAAGTCCTAGAAATGGCGTAATTCATATCAAAACTCGGTTCATTGCGGTACCCACATGGCCCAAACCCCATGCCAGCCATGTCAACCTTCCCAAACTCAGGCCAGGCAGTCTCCAAACCAGGGTCAGGCTTCACTTGCTAGGCCATCATCATGTCACCTAACACCGAGTCAAAACTTATCAAACCACCCTGAAAGCCTTGAACATGGCTGGTTTGGCTCGAAAACACCCCACTTAACTCGCTGAAATAACTTTGTTGTTGTTCTTGTTGCTGCTGAAGCTATTCCTGTTGCCATTTCAAGCGTGCCCTTTGTCTCTCGAGCACTATCACGTCCGAACATTGTAACATCTCTGGCAATGCTCTATTCATGTCAAACCCTCAAAATTAAAAAAACAAAAAAGAAGGAAAATGAAAGTTTGAAGAAAGAAATAGACAGGACAAACAATAACCAACAGAAAAACGATAGCCTTGAAGGTGAAGAAGACTAGGCAGGTTTGCTATATGACTTCATGCCTAAGACGAATTCATTGTGAGGGATAGTACCATACACCATAGGTGATGTGCTCTCATACTTTTTTTCATTATTATTATGGAAGTTTTTGGTACGTTTGGGGACGAAAGAAAGAGAAAAGAGAGTTTTAAGGGCAAAGGGAAGGAGGAGAGTGGGGTATATATAAGGGGAAATGAAGGTAATTGGAATATGACATTACTAGGAATCAAAGAATTATTAAGAGAGGGATTTTGTTTTTCTTTTTCCTCCTCTTTTTTGCTATAATTATAACACAAATTTTTGTGCTTCTCATGACTATTGACTACACAAACCTCAAACTTTCTAAAAAAATTCAATTGGATACACATATTCATTGATATATAAATTATCTCCTAAACTTTTTTTCACAAGATTGTAGTACTAATTTGTAAAAGTAAGCATAATTTATGAGTATAAATCTTAAAATATTCACATTCCATGATAATGTATGAAGTACATTTTTTATAATCCTGCTAAAGGCATTTTCAAGTTTTGCTAAAATTCATTTTTCAACTATTTTAATAATGCCTTTTTTTATATATCAATTTGATTATTTAAGAATTTTATTTTAGAGTGTACTTCATATATATTGAAGCTAATCCATATGGATAAAATATATATTATGTAAATAGTTAGATGTGATTTTTGAATTTTTTTTTTAAAATTTGGAATCTTATAAAACATTTAAAAATTTTCACTTATGTTATATAATTAAAGAAAAGATATTATAATGCTTTGATATAATCATAATTTATGTAACAGAAAGTCGCTGATGAATAAAATTTCCTAGAGATTCTAGTACTATGATAAATAATTAATGTTAGGGAGATTAAAAATCATAGATTTATAAATGGTAAATCATAGATGACTTGACTTTTAAAACTCAATAATTTGAATATGATATTTCAAAAAAAAATTAAATATTAAATTTGAAATGATTTGAACTTGACATCGAAGTCTAACAAAGTTGGAGAAGCTGAACCAGAACCTGAACAGGGATACATGTCTAGTTGCCAGAAACATCGAAAAACAAAGTAAGCAACAAACAGCTAAAAAAGTAATTCTAAAAGCCTTATTCCATGTTGAATCCAGAGGAGTCCCTCTCACTGGAACTGAGAACTAGTGCAAGGGGAGTTCGGCTTGGTCGTGCTGATGCATGGATCCAAGTTCAACGTCCACTTGAGGAGGAACAGGGTTAGGACCTTCGTCATTCCGGGTGATGATCATGATGGAATAAGTGGGAACTAATTGAAGGGCCCCAGAAAACCATCGGAAAACGTGTTTAAAAATATCAAAGAACATGGCATGCCAGGGAGAAAAGAAGACTATAAGTAAATGGACAGCCCAGAAGAGCGAAGGTGGAAAGAAGACTGAGGATAGAAATGATGCGGCCAAGGCAATGGAGAAAGCTCCGGCGCGGAAGCGAATGGGATTGAGGGTTATAGGGACTTCAACTGAGGTGAAGAGAAAGAGTAGAAGAAACATCATGGCTAGAATTACGAATGCCAGCTCCAAAATGGAAAATTGTTGGACAAAGAATGAGGAAACCAGGTGGTTCCTGTTCAAAGGGCTTAAGAACAAAAAGAAGATCAAATTCAATATAGGGGGGATAAAGTACCGCAAATCCATGTTTGCTTGTTATTACGCTGTGGGATGTTGTTATGTTGAGGCTATATAGCGTCCGTATGTGGACATACTTGTATAAATAGCGGCACAAGTGAAGGGTAAGAGAAGTCAAAAGGATTCGGTACCGCCCTCTGTTCATCACTAAAGTGACGTGTCCTCCTTCTTTGGAGAAAAAAATTTGAAGCCTAACCCCCGATATCTCCCTTTCTTTTGGGTTGGATATGCTTAATAAATCCCAATTAATTGTAATTATTTATGCCAATCCTTTTCCATGGTCACGTCTTACTTTCTGCATTCATATTAGTTGTCACCAATATGAAACAGCCACGTGCCCCTTATTTCTTCTTCGTTTTCTTTTCTTTGGCTACAGTTTTATAAAGGTTGACTTGAGTTATTAAGCTAAAGCTGGGTAATTTTGAGTCGCGACTCGAAGTCTTTGAATGAAAAGACTGTTTTGCCCGTGCAAGCAGCATTGCTGGACCAGTTCTATTCGCACCACACGAGGGTAATGCAATCATTTTTCCCTTTTAATAATTTTTTGTACGGTCATTTTCGGGAATCATTTAATTCGAGGATGGCAAAAAGAGAGGTGGGTGTTTGCTGAAATACAAATATATTTATTATACATAGAGAGGATTGAAAAAGGATTTTATCCAAAAAAAGAAAAAAAAAGAAAAAGGGTTCTCCTCCAATCAATTTCAAGACAAGGTTAAATTTCCACAATATTAATTTTTCATTAAGATATATGACATATATTGTTATCTATATAATAATTCAATTGATTTCCTTTTCCATTGATTGGATTTATAAACATAACTAGTAAAACTTGTTTAATTTAGATTAACACAAGAGCTTAAGGTTCTTGGGGTTTTGTATTTAGAACTTAGTCAACATTAATAAAAACGAAGTTACCACAAGGAAAAAGAAAAAGTTTGATAGACAAATACCTCACATCACGAATCACGACGACTTTCCGTAGCTCTTATCATGATGGCCGGAAGTTTTTTTTTTACACCATTGTACTAGTTAGTAAAATCATTATTGTATTCCTTCCTTTTTTTTAATTTTTCGGGTTCTGCGCTGGTACAGCTTCGCCTCAATTTTTCATTCCGACCTGATGCACGATTCCCTCATGGTAATTGCTTGGCAAGTGAGTCGCCACTCGCCAGATAATTAACCCAAAGTCTTGTTCCTTTTAGAACAAAAACAAAAAAAGTTACGTC